AAAAAAAAAAAAAAAAAAAAAAACCTTGAGCTGAAAATACAATTTATCTTCCCAATAAATAGTTGGAGTAGAAGAAATAAAATATACAAAAAATAAATATTTTTACACTTTTTTAATCCAGTGCAAGTCACCAAATAACATCCAATATCTAGTAAAGCATAAATATATAATTACATACTCATAGAACAAATCAAAAATCGAAATCAGCAATAAGAAAGTACTAAGTTCTACAAATGATAAAAATAATATTAGTCCATTCCTCTAAAACCACGTAACAATTAACATTGTTGACTTTTTTTCATCACAATGTTTCCTTTGCATCCCATTGGATAAGGGCAAATAAATTGTAAGAGTAAAAATCTTTTTAAAAAATTACAAATTCGATTCCAGAACTCGGTACTGATGGCTTCGGTTCAAGAACCAAGAATCGATTGAATTCGGTTCCTAATTTTTGCTGGAACCAAATTGAAGACTCTAGTTCCAATTCTGTTTCGATTAAAATGCTCACCCCTACTTCATATCAAGGTTTTCGAGTCAATCATTCAATCCATTTTGACACCACTACTTACGATTCATCATGTGTAAAGTTTTTAGAATGATAGCGAAAGTTAAACTTACATATCACTCTTAAAAGTAAATCGAATTCTATTCTATTATTATTATTTTTTTTTTTGTCATCTTTATAATGGCATATCAAAGTGGGCTCATTCATTATCTTGTCTTCAAGATTCTTTCTCCATTATTTTGTTTGTGAAAGGGACTGTTTGTCAATTAATTTGGATAAACATTACAAAAGACAATATTTTAAGTGGGATTTAAGCATGTTAGGTAAGAGTGGTTTTTCTCTGAATCTTAAACAATTTTAACCCCCAAGAAGTTGTCTAATTGTGATTATTTTTATATGGATTTACATAAAATTTTCCTTCTTTTGGGTTAAGGATCTAACTATATCCCCATGAAAAGAAATATTTACCGCAAAATTACAGTACCCGGCTCGATTGCTAATCTAGGTAAAATGTAGGATTTACTGTCACCTAAATCGGTATTGAGCACCATATAGCACTATTCTATGTTATTTCAAAAATGTAACTTTTCCTCTTTCCATGAGTTTCGTTTTCAATAGAAGATGTAAACTGTAGAATTTTTTTTTTCCCTTCTCGAGATCTAGCGTCAAATGTCAGCTCAATGGAATGGCCTTAGACAAACAACAACCCTACAAGCGTATAAAAAGAGATTAGCCGTATAGAATATAGTCAATGGACTAACCCAAAAGGAATTAAAACAGCCTTAGGCAACTTCTGGAACACAGTTTCTTTGAACAAATCAAGATTCTTCTCTTTGTCCATGAACCCTATTCTACATAGTATACGTAAAGATTCCAACAATTGGGAATATTTTTTTTTATTATTTATCTTTCGATTCCCTAAACAACTTTTAATGGCGTAGACAAAAGGGGAGAAAATTTTGGAGTCGTCCAACGGCTAAAAATAGAATTCCTGAAAATAAAGTCATACCAAACATGAAAAATACAAAAAACTGAGGACTAATCCCCACTGCTTGAAACAAGAAGAATGATTAGTTTAATTCAGTGGCGGCATAAATAATTAAGCAGAAATCTTGCTTATCTTAGAGATAAGTTCTTATCGTGTCAAGAATTCAACATTTTGAGAGAAAAAAAATAATCTTTTAAGCCATGCATATGGCCAAGTAGGGTACCTATAGAATGATTCCACAGCAGGTCAATTACAGAGAGTAGTCGACAAGAAATAAACGAGCCCTATGATTTTTCTTCGCTTCATAGGACATGTGAGATATACATTACTGAATATGATTCGATAAGATTAAACAATACAAAGAACAAGATTAACTTATCTTAGCCAAACATTTGATTGTTTGCCCTCAAATAAAAAACCCATTTTGTTCATCATTTCAAGAAACCAAGGAAATCTAATCCTGCAAAATTCCATATAGTCTGCCTCAGAAAAGATCATAGTTATATATGTATCATATATTGAGTTTATAAGTGATATGAGTCCTCCCATGTACACTATTTTTTCTGCAAAACTCATTGTGGACATCTATGCATCGTCTCTTCCACACAAGTGAATGTGACTTTTCCAGCTGTGGCTCTCCGACTTTTCATCATCTTCGTCTTCCATGCTATTCCCTCCCGTCATGGAAGTCGCTCGAGACGATCCCGCTAACTGTAGAGGACCCTGAGGAGAACGAGACTGGGAATTGCTTTTTTTAGAGGATTCACCATGCTGATCATGGGACATCCATTGACCTCCAAGTACAACGGGTTGATTTGATGAGGTGCTTGTAGTAGGAGGAACTTTTCGAGTATGAAGCCGATATTTCTGAAATGACAAAAAGAAGAATTATGATAATTCGAAGTTCTCTAGGTCTATCTGAAACTGTCCCAGGAAAGCTCCACATAGTTGTTTTCGAGGTCCATCTACAAATGAAGGATACTAGAGAGAAATATGCTAAATCAAAGTTGAAACCCCACCTGCAGATGACTCTTGACTTCATCATTTGTGAGACCATCAACTTGCATAAGATCTCTGATCTGCTTAGGAGTAGCAACTGCAAAGAATTTAAGAATAAGTTAAGAGGCTAATACAAAGGAGGATATCTCATATCAGGGCATTAGTCTCTATGCGATGAACCGGTTCTTATTTTTCCCCTCGGATCACCCCCATTTTCGATGAGATGAAGTTAGAAAAACCCATCTTGGATATCAATAAAAGAAGCTCAAAGAAGTTATTATGTCATTTCATTACATGTACTCTGATTCTCTTCCAGGCAATAAGCATAAATTCGTAGTGTGAATCCAGTGTAATCAGGAAAATCTCATATACAAGAAAATGTTTAATTCTTGGTCTCAAAAGCTTTTCGAATCGAACTTTCTACAACTTCATAGAACACATATAACCAGTGTTTGGAAATTATAAACAGAAACAAAGTTAAACACACGCTTCACTCTAATTGCACCTGATTTCCATATTTCTCATTGAACCATTGATTTTTACTTTATTACTTAGATTCAATTTCGAACCAAAATTTTGCAATCTTTAAACACTTAGTCAAGACCTAACCTTGTTCACCTCCAAGTTGTTGCAGAGCATTGACAAAACGCCGATGCAATTCAGGTGACCAGCATCTCCTCTGCTTTCTCTGCTGCCTGGCCGTCGAATTCAATTGACAATTAGCTGCAGAAGATGAACCTGATCCACTGCAACTGGATATCGAATTCAAACCACAAGACTCCATATTGTCCCTCGCATTCTTTATTCCAGGTGTACTAAGAGAGAGGACTGGTGCTCCAGGTAATTCATCCCTATCTTCCTTCCTCGCTGTCATCGCTGGAAAATTAGCATACCCCTTGAAAGGCATAAAAGCCCTTCCCACTGTTGTTCTGTTATTGCTAGACTGAAACAAATCATCTATCAAATTCACGGGCTGATTATTTTCTTCAGCTCTCTATTAACCCAAAAACATAAACAAGAACAAATCCATTACAACATATACACAAGAAAATAGATTATAACAGATATATATGAAAACACTGATTTCGTTTCATACCCTTTCGTTGTCTTGTTTAAAGGCTTTCTTGTAGCTGAATTCAATATCCAGGCAAGGGTTTTGATTATCAGAGTTCCATAGCTGCACAGAGCTCATCCAATTCATTTTATCTCGACTGCTAACAATTTCATCTTTTGGAGCCTCTACTTTTTCGTCTAAAGCATCACTACTTTTCTTCAATGGTATAAATTCTTCCAATATTGGCTCAGTACTTGATTTTTTGCACTGCATTAACTCCCCCTCAATTATCGCAATTGCTGCAATGGCAGTCATCAAAACCCAAAAATAAGCAATCCCGTCTATAAAACACCACCCCATTCCAGCAATAAAAAATCCCAAATAAACCATTTTCTAAAAATTAAGAAACAAAAATAAAAAAGTCATTTATAAAATAGAAATTGGCTCACCGTCAGTGATGAGGAGCATGCAAAGAGGGAGCTCGCGTTTGAATGCATCGATCTTCTTCATTTCATCTTGGAGTCTATTGACGTAATCATCAAGCTTCGAAAGTCTTTCAGATGAGTTAGTAATCAACGAAACTTCGGTTAGAAATTCACTGACCGTTTTGGGAATATAAGGCTTCACCGTCGATTGTCTACAAGTCAAACTAAGTTCCGATGATCCCATTTCTTGCCAGATCTTCGGTTTTTCAATAAATTAATTTTCCCAGTTCTTGTGATGCCAAACTCAAAGATAAAAGGGGAAATAGTGAGGATCTATATATAAAGTGTGAATGCAATAGCGAGAGAATAAAAGTAGTGGTTTCTTTTATAGACAGAAACGCGAAGATTCTGTTAAGCAACGCCGAGTTTTAGCAGAGCTGAGCCGATGATATCTATTTATAGATAGATATTATATGTATGCAAACATGACGAGTCTTTTACGGGTCATCGCATATTCTTTTATTGTCGAAATTGCCCTTGCAATGCTCGGTTATATTTGTGGGGTTTCTGTATTTTCTATTTTTCTTCATAGAGTGGTAAAATATATATAATATTTTGAAAGACTTTACTCTTCTTATTGTATATTTTATAAAGGGACTTAATGTGTTTTGGTCATTCAATTGTAATTTAATAAAGTCCTACTTTAATAATTATTTTATATTTAAATGATTTGTTGAGCTTCCTTTAAATAATTTGTGATTTTAAAAACGAGAGTGGAAAAAGGGGCAAATTTTGCAGTTGCTCGAAAGCAATGAAATGTAAAATTCGAAGTTTTGTTCAACATAAAAAATGCATTTGATATTTATTTGATAAAAAAATGATCACGATAAGTTTAAGGTGTCATGAAATTTTAAAATGGTCAAAAGTTGGAGTAAAAGAATATCGATGATTTGATCACATGTGCTCATCTTTTGCTAATAAAATTAGATTTTCGATTAATTTTATAATTTGAATCAATAACTCTTTTCGTATAAAAGTGATACTCTAAATTCTTAAGTTGTGTAGGTCAACTTGAGTCCAAGCCCTTTTTTTTTTTTGGCTAAAATTCATATTTTTAATAAATTGAAATTTGTAGTTGAAAAGTTGTAGGTCTCCTAAAATGTATATTTAAAATTAATTATTGATTTTGACTTAAATTTTTATAATTATTTTATTTAAACTAGGGATTTTAACGTACCAGCAATGAAGTTGCTAAGATCAAACACTTCGGATCCTTTTTTCCTTCCATGTGATGGAATCAAATAGAGTTATTAGTACAAAATGTCTTTACTTTGAAGTTCATTGTGCAAAATGTCCTTAGGTTTCATTTTTTGCACCATTATTTCCACATTTCATTGTGAAAATCATCATTTGCATCTATTTTTATCCAATTTCTTCAATAAAAAGTTGTAAAATGACGAATATACTATCATATTTAAATAAAACAAAAAGCAAAATAAAAGAACTAATTGCAATTATAGTCTCAAATTTTTTTAAAATATACAAATGAGTCCTAAATAAATTGTTAAAAAATTATCTCTCTCTCTCATTTCCACCACCCCCACCACCGGGTTAAATCTTTGGTGACCAACAGTGAGTGATATGATACGGCAACAAAAATTAAACAAAGCAAAACAATATTGTTATTGTATTGACATTTCTTGAGTGTAAATTACATTTGACTTCATTCTGGTGGATTATAAATTTTCTGGATTTCTCTATGCAACAATAGATTGTACTTTCCACCCCTCTTCAATCCTTCTCTGTAGTAATGACTTTACAATGGTGATGATTTTTCTCTTCAGTCTCTTCAAACCATCTGTTCCTAAACAAATTTCTTCGAAACTATGTTCTTCAAATTATTTATGATTGCTTATGCATTTTTATAGATCCGTTAAATTGGTTGAAAAGCATTCATGTGGTTAATTCTCCAATCGATCAGCAGCATCATGCGACAATGGGTGAGGCTTCAATTTCTCCAATTAATGCTCCAATCAATTCAATTTTTCCCTAAATCGGTCCAATTATAACTTCGATGTGATTGAGTATGGGTTAGGTTTAGGTGGTGTCGTGGTGGAGGTGAGAAAGATATTTTTTCCCCTAATTTTAAATTATTTATTTAGGAGCCGTTTGTATTTTTTTTAAAAAAATTTGAGATTGTGATTGCAATTAATTCTTATTTTTTTCTTTTATTTTTTTTATTTAAATAAGATGATATATTCGTTATTTCACAACCTTTTGTTGAGAAATTGGATAAAAATACATAAAAATGGTGATCGAAATGTGGAAATAGGGGTAAAATACAAAAAAAATGAAACGTAGGGATATTTTGCATAGTGAACTCAAAGCGTATGGATGTTTTGTGCTAATAACCCAATCAAATATCCCTGAAGTTCTTTTCTTTTTTCCAATAAATTAAATTATATATTTGACAAAAAGATAGGATCATAAGACGTCAGCATGTGTTGGAGCAGGGCAGTAGTGGAAAAACGCAAGAAATGATGCGTGTCGTACAATTTTAGCTTAGAGATAAGGAATCCAGGGGACCCATTATTTTAGTATCGGCCAATATTTCTTCTTTCAAAAAGAATAGGGAGAGATGCCCCTTTCCCAATCAAAAAAGGACAATCTTTTACAGCCGTTAGATTCCATTACTTTGAAGAATCTCTCAAATTTGGTTATATTAAAATCACGTTTCTCAACATATTTTAATACAATAAAGGCCCTTAAACTTTATTCATTATATTATTTATATTCTTAACTTTTTTCTTCCTCACATTCTTATTTTTAATATTTCATTAATAAAAAAATATTATCCATAATCGTAATTTTCATCTAAAAATATTATTAACGTACTTTAAAATGAAGATAAAATATTTAATCGCATTTTAAAAGTATTATTTGTTTTGTTTATTATATTAATTTGAGAATAAAAATGCGATAAAAAAAAAAGTTTTAGTTATAAATGTGATAATGTGTAAATGTTGTGAATCTTCCATCAATTAAAATATAGTTTACTTATTAAAAATTGTAATATATTTAGCCACTTTTAAATAGAATAATTATATTCACACCATATTTTAATTATACTTAAGATTCTCAATTTATACTCATGATAGTATTTATATTTGTAACGATTTTTTATAACATTCTTATCTTCGAACTTTTCATTATTTACTACATTTTCTATTTCATAACAGTTTATGTCCAGAAAGTTTGTTGAAACAGCGTATTACAAATTATTTTCCATCATATTTAAAATAAATAAATAAATAGTGCGAAGAAAGTCAAAGCATAAAAATAAATTATTTTGTCATAAAACATTATCAATGACAAATATACTAATTAATGAAATGTAGAATATAAGAATTTGATAAAAAAAAAATTCATATAAATAAGTTTTAGGTAATTCAATTGTCTATAATTTATTTTTTTCCATACAAATTTTATGTCGACAATCAAACGCGCCCTTATGGTTAAATAGTGTAAAAAATTTAAATAGTGTAAAAAATTAAGTACAAATGTATGACGTCAAATGGTGTTAAAATTAAATTAATCGTAAATTTGTCATCGAAATTTTTGACACCTCAGTAATTAGTTCTAATTGGAGAATAGGAAATTTAGATTATTATCTAAATTTTTGACACCTCAACTTTTTTAAGTCCTCGTTTGATCTACATTATTATTTCATTAAAATGAAAAATATGAACGTTATCCATCACATCAACATTTAAATTCAAATTTTCTATCTCTTGTATGGGCCCCAATAACGACTATATTTTTCATTCTCATTCTATAATAATTTGGCTCAAACAGGTATATAACTTGTAGAGAGATATAATATCACGTATGCAATCAGGTCAGCATTTCATAAAATTTTTGACGGACCATAAGGTCGGTGGTGCTAGATTACAAATTACAAAGTTTAATGTTGAATGTGGTGATTTTTAAAGCCCATTGATCCCGTGAATTTTTTTTTTTGCAAAGTTTAGCGGTCATTTGAGTTATTATTCCTTTTCCGAGAATACGGAGGAATCGGGAGGGTAATACGGTCAAGTAAAATGAGTACTTTCTCTCCATTTTTTATGGTTGATTTTAAAAATCTTGTAGAGGAAGCTTGAAAACAAATTTGGTCAAATCAAGAAAGGAACGCGTTAGGAATTTTATATGGATTTTTCTAAAGAAAAAAGGGTACAACTGACCCCCACTTTCTTCTTTTTGGAGGATACTATTTCCAGAATCCAAGAAAATGGTATCTAGATTTATTAGTAAATCCATGTTTTTACATTTTTAATTTAATGCTTCAAGATTGGAGTGGACCATCTAGATAAAATTATTTTATAAATTTATCCAATTTGACCATATAAAATATAATTATTATTTTAAATTTATGCAAGAATACTAACATAAAACAATGTTGGCAAGTTTCGAAAAGTCAAAAATTATTTTCGAGATTAAAAGCTCATTTTAAATATATTTGAAATTTTCTGAAAATATTTTATCTGACTATATAATTTTTTAAAGGAAGATGATATAATGTAATTTTTTCTTCTTAAAGAAGCATAAGCCTTGTCGTCAAACGGGACGAAAAACATGCAAATATTTTGAAAAAAAATAAGCTATTTACTTCAGATAAAATATTCTTCTAAAATAGTTCTATTTAATTTATCCTAATATATATTTTCTAAACTTTTTTTTTTTTGATAATGTGTTAAGGTATTTAAATACACACTAGTTAATTAGCAACGTTTAAAAGTATCTTTTTGAGTATGCGCATACTGATTAAAAAAATCATTTTAAATGGTATCAACTTTTATTTGCACGGCTAATAATTATTTTATTCTTTAATCTCTCCAAAAATATTGCTTTTTTTTTTTTTTTAAATATATATATTTCATGGACTTTATTACAGCGCAAAAAGTAATATTAATCATGATAAATTATGCCTATATAAAAAGTGACTTGTGACTAAACATCACAACTACCAAATCTTCTTCCTCAATTTTCCTTCCAACCTTAGTATGCAATTATTATGCATTCTACCATGTCCAAGTATTGGGTTAAAAACTCACCTATTTTTTTTTTCTTCGTAAATTAATCAACGGGTTTTTGCTCTCCTTTCAATTTATATACCATCTCGATGAACTTAACATGATTGACGACGTAGTGTTTTATTGTGTTAAATCTATCGTCGAATTAGACAAA